TGCCCTGGTGCCGCAGCATCGCTCAGCCACCGCGGCTCAGCGGGGAACGATGCTGGGAAACGAGCCAGCTCCGCACTGTGCCCCAACGGGACGAAGGCTCGGCCGGGCGCTGCCGGGGGGAGGGGAAGGGCAGCACCCTCGCCCCTGCCCGGAGGGGCCCGTGGGGCGCAGGAGCAGGAGCGGACCATGCCCAGAGCGATACAAAGACTTTTGCCCTCTGTCCTGTCCAGACCATCGCGAGTTAATCCCCACTGCAGCGCGCGTGTCATTAGCCTCCTTTGACAGCTGAGGAAACAGACACAGGGTGCCGGAGTGACTCACCCGGCCATCTGCTGAGTCTGGATCCGGACCCACAGCTCAGCACCCTGGCCCCAACGCTGCCCCCTCCTCGCCGGGGGGGCGTAGGAAGCAGGAGCCATTCCCCAAGGGGACTAGCGAATACCACCGCTCCTATTGCACCGTGATTGGAGCCAACAACAGTCCCGACCTTACGAATATTCCCGCTCGAAACCTCCTTAAGCCCGGCCGAGGGGGGGACTCCGGGCTAGCTGGGGACCAGACGCTGGGGGCAAAGCCAGGAGGCAGAGACGGTCTCCAGGAGGTGGGATGCCAAGTCCCACATTTCCCGCCCGTTCCTCAGGCTTCCCGCTGCTCCCTTAATGCCGCGTCAGCGGGCACCTCGCCCGGGGGGGGGGGGTTCCAGGGCGACGGAGGCACGGCCACCACGGCGGAGCCCCACCAGGATGGGTCAGGGTCCGAACGACCTTGGAGAGTTTCCACCCTGACCCCCAGCCACTCCTGCGCCACTTGCCCCGCAAGGTCCCTGGGATGTGGGGGAACCACGATTTTCCGTGGAGAAAAATCAGATGCGCTGTTGGCCACGAGCCAGAGGATCCAGTACTGCCCCTTCCCGGCAGCTACCTGGCCCAGAGTCCCGCTGCAGGACGGCCCCGGCGCGGTTTTAAGGCCATTCTCAAACAGACCCCCTGCTCTTCCCCAGGGGTCGGGCCAGCCGAAGGGGGAGTCAGACAGCGCGGCTGCTCCCGTGCGTGGT